GTAAATCACAAGAGGAAAATACCTCACAAAATAAGTGAACCAAATCTCCAAGAACAAACCGCAAGAAACCCAAATATCAAGTGAAGAAATGTTACCCACTTGAAGAACAAATTTGCAGATTTTTCTGGCACCAAAAAGGAGAAGAAGAAGGCTGAATTTTTGTTGAACCAAAGACTGCCGAAAATATGTCTTCTTGCCAAACCAACAGAGAAAAGATGAACCAAAGAAAAGGACAAAACTTATAGTCTTTGATGACTGCCAAATTCCTTTTTAACTAGAAGACTCCAAACCAAGTCTTGGATAAGAGTCCTACACGGGTAAGCCACCAAAAAATTAGCAAATTGATGAGTCCCACAAAGGAGGGAAACCCAACAATTCTCCCCCTCCCGACTTATGTGGAGGATTCGACCATTCCCGCCAAAAGTCGACACTTCTCATGCTTGTCCTTAGTCAATGCCTTAGTTAACATATCCGAAGTGTTATCATCAGTGTGAATTTTTTCAAGTTGTAACAACTTATCATTCAAGACATCACGAATCCAATGATATCTAACATCAATATGTTTCGATCTCGAATGAAATGAAGAATTCTTGCTCAAGTGGATTGCACTCTGACTATCACAATGAAGGACATACCTTTCTTGTTTCAAACCCAACTCTTGTAAGAATTCCTTCAACCACAATAATTCTTTGCAAGCTTCAGTGATGGCGATGAACTCAGCTTCTGTGGTGGAGAGAGCAACACATTTCTGTAATCTTGATTGCCATGCCACTGCTCCCCCTGCAAAAGTAATCAAATAACCAGAAGTAGATTTTCGACTATCAACATCACCAGCCATATCAGAATCTGTGAACCCATCAAGAATAGGCTCGCCTTTACCAAAACACAAACTCATCTTTGAAGTGCCCTGAAGATACCTCATAATCCATTTCACTGCTGCCCAGTGTTCTTTCCCTGGATTAGACAAAAATCGACTGACAACCCCAACTGCGTGAGCAATATCCGGTCGAGTACAAACCATGGCGTACATCAAAGAACCAACTGCTGAAGCATAGGGAATTTTCTGCATCTCATTTTTCTTTTCATCACTTGTAGGACACTGACTTGAGCTTAGTTTGAAGTGGCCTGCAAGTGGACAATTAACAGGCTTTGCTTTGTCCATATTGAACCTCTCAAGAACCTTTTTAATATAATTCTCTTGAGATAACCAAATCAGCCCATGTGATCTGTCACGAACAATTCTCATCCCAAGAATTTGCTTTGCTGGACCCAAATCCTTCATGGCAAAGGACTTACTCAACTCTGACTTCAACTTGCTAATCTTACTCGTGTCTTGGCCCACAATAAGCATATCATCAACGTAAAGCAAGAGAATAATAAAATTACCATCTTTATATTTCTTCACAAACACACAATGGTCTGAAGTGGTTCTTGAATACCCATTCTCACTCATGAAAGCATCGAATTTTCTGTACCACTGCCTCGGTGCTTGCTTCAATCCATACAAGCTCTTCTTCAATTTGCAAACTAACTGATCATTACCCTTATCTTTGAAGCCCTCAGGTTGCTCCATATAAATTTCCTCTTCTAAGTCACCATGCAAAAATGCGGTCTTCACATCAAGCTGCTCAACTTCTAAATTCATACTCGCAGCTATACCAAGCACAGTTCGAATGGAGGACATCTTCACAACTGGTGAGAAGATCTCATCAAAATCAACTCCCTTTCTCTGATCAAAACCTTTCACGACAAGTCGTGCCTTGAATCTCGGTTGAGAACTGTTCCCATCATTCTTTCGTCTGAAGACCCATTTATTTTTCAAAATTTTCTTCCCTTTAGGCGGCTTCACCAAATCATAGGTGTGATTCTCATGCAAAGACTTCATTTCCTCTTTCATTGCCTTGAACCATTCAGTTTTGTTCTCATGCTTCAAGACTTCTTGATAAGTCCCTGGCTCCCCCTGATCTGATATCATCACATACTCATTTGAAGAATATTTTCTGGATGACTGTTTTTCTCTAGTAGATCTCCTTAACGGTGTCTGTGGTAGTGGCTCTTGGGGTGGTTGCTCCCCCTCAATCTCTGGCTCAACATCATCTTCTGCTGCATCATCATGAGGTGTTTGCACTTCCTCATCAATATCATGAACAGCAGAGGGATTGAGAGGATCTAAATCAACAAGATCATCAGTACTAGACTCAGCTGACTCAAGCTTGTCGATGTCTTCAATAGTCTGATCTTCCAAGAAAACAACATCTCGGCTTCTGACAACTTTCTTGTCAACTGTATCATACAACCTGTATCCAAATTCTTCATGCCCATAGCCAAGAAATATGCATTGCTTTGCTTTTGGATCAAGCTTGGACCTTTCATCTTTTGGAATATGAACAAAAGCTCTGCAGCCGAATACCCTCAAGTGATCATAGGAGACTTCCTTCCCTGTCCAAACTTTCTCTGGCACATCACCATTCAACGGAACTGAAGGAGACAAATTGATAAGATCAACTGCGGTCCTCATTGCCTCACCCCAAAAGGATCTTGGCAATTTAGAATGTGAGAGCAAACATCTGACTCTCTCAAGAATGGTGCGATTCATTCTCTCTGCAACCCCGTTCTGTTGAGGTGTCTTTTTAACTGTCTTTTCATGCCTGATACCATGATTTGTGCAATACTGATCAAATGGTCCAATATATTCACCACCATTATCCGAGCGAACACATTTCAACTGTCTACCTGTTTCTCTTTCAACCTTGGCCTGAAAAATCTTAAACACATCTAGAACTTGATCTTTAGTTTTCAGTGTATAAGCCCAAACTTTTCTAGAGTGATCATCAATAAAAGTGACAAAGTATAGAGCACCACCAAGTGTCCTAACTTTCAAAGGACCACATACATCAGAATGTACCAAATCTAAAACATGAGATTTTCTAGATGCAATGTTTCTACGGAATGATATTCTGTTTTGTTTACCATGGAAACAATGAACACAAGTTTTCAAAGGCGTACCTTTTATCCCCACTAGAAGCTCTTTCTTGGACAAAACTTGCAATCCTTTTTCACTCATATGTCCAAGCCTTCTATGCCATAAATCAGTGGATGAGTCATTCTCTAAGGTATTCACAACACCCTTGCAGATTTTTGCTTGCATAGTGTAAAGAGAACAAGTCTTCTTTCCTTTTGCTACCACTAGAGAACCTTTGGAGAGCTTCCATTTTCCATTACTGAAATTGTTGATGTAGCCTTCATCATCTAACTTTCCAGCAGAGATTAAATTGAGTCGAATATCTGGTACATGCCTCACATCTCTAAGCAGCAATTTGCATCCAATATTTGTTTCCAAGCAAATGTCACCCATGCCGACAATTTTTGACACATCTTCATTTCCCATACGGACATTCCCAAAATCACCTTGTGAGTAAGAAGTAAAGAAATCAGCCCGCGAAGTAACATGAAATGAAGCTCCAGAATCAATTACCCAATCCGTCTCTTGGCCAATCAAATTAACGCTAGCATCATCACGGATAATCATGAGTTCATCATCGGTAACTACAGCTGTATCAATTTGCTTTTTCTCTGAATTTTTCTCTTTGTTCTGCTCCTTGAACTTGAGTTTTCTACATTCCCGCTTCATGTGCCCTTTCTTGTGACAATAATAGCATTCAACATCCTTTTTTGACATCGAGCTTGAACGACCTCTAGATTTATCACGGTTGTGCGGAACCCTACTCTTACTCCTGCCTCTCCCCCGGTTTTCCATTACAAGTGCCTCGGAGTAAGAAGAACCTGATGATTTTCTTCTTGTTTCTTCATTCAACAAACTGCTGGTAACTTGACTCATTGTTACCACTCCATCAGGTGCGGAGTTACTAACTGTGACCACCAAAGTTTCCCAGCTTTCGGGAAGTGAACTAAGAAGTAACAAAGCTTGCAACTCATCATCAAAAGTAATTTTCATGGCGGCCAACTGATTCACAATGCTCTTAATCTCATTCAAATGCTCTGCAATAGAAGTACCCTCCTTATATTTAGAGTTCACAAGCTTTCGAAATAAAAAGGCTTTATTCACTGCCGTCTTTCTATCATACAAACTCTCCAATTTGGTCCAAAGACCATGTGCAGATTTTTCTGTAGAGACATGATGAAAGACACTATCATCAATCCATTGCCGAATAAAACCGACAGCTTTCCGGTCTAGCTTTTTCCACTCGTCATCTTTCATCCCTTCCGGTTTGCCACTATCACCCTCTATGGGTCCATTCAAATCTTTACAAAATAAAAGATCTTCCATTTTAGTTTTCCAAGTCACCCAATTTGTGCCATTGAAACTAACCATACGTCCAACGTTGCCGTCCATAATTCACACACAGAAATATAACGAATCGGAACCGAATTAACCAATTGCTCTGATACCAGGTGTTGGGAAAATAGGCTTTCCCACAAGTGTAAATCAATGGAAGCAATATAAATAAAATAACAGAAAATAAATAAGCACACAAGATTTACGTGGTTCCCTCAAATAACTTGAGGTACATCCACGACGACCGGTAGGTCAGTTTCTTCCACTATCACCAAATCAGATTACAAAGTGGCCAAAAGGCATAAGCCTTACAAACACACCAAGGTGTAAATCACAAGAGGAAAATACCTCACAAAATAAGTGAACCAAATCTCCAAGAACAAACCGCAAGAAACCCAAATATCAAGTGAAGAAATATTACCCACTTGAAGAACAAATTTGCAGATTTTTCTGGCACCAAAAAGGAGAAGAAGATGGCTGAATTTTTGTTGAACCAAAGACTGCCGAAAAATATGTCTTCTTGCCAAAACCAACCGAGAAAAGATAAACCAAATAAAAGGACAAAACTTATAGTCTTTGATGGCTGCCAAATTCCTTTTTAACTAGAAGACTCCAAACCAAGCCTTGGATAAGAGTCCTACACGGGTAAGCCACCAAAAAATTAGCAAATTGATGAGTCCCACAAAGGAGGGAAACCCAACAAATGGTTTGTGAAGAAGTTCTGAACATTATCAGGGAGAGAAGAAAGGAACTAATGGAGAAGGAGAGAGGAGATGGGGACTTGTTGTCTCGTATGCTGCTAGTAACAGATAAAAATGGAAAATTCATGAATGAAAAGGAAATCTCTAATAACATCGTGGGTTTACTTGTTGCAAGTTATGAAACAACCAGTACCGCAGTCACTGTTGTCTTGAAGTATCTCGCGGAGCTTCCCCACATTTACACCCAGGTTTTTAAAGGTAATACTCCAAACTGATTTTGTCTCCTTCCATATCAGTGCCTACTGAGTGCTGGGTATGGTTTAATACCCACTAATCTATTGGGATTGAGACCATTTTCATTACATTTTTACTTAGTTTTAATCAAGTATATCATTTGTTAAAATTCTAGTGTGACTCACTATTTATAGTGAACCTCTCTCTCACCCATACGTGATGGTAATTTATAATTAAGTAAAATTAAATAAAAGTGGAATGAAAAGGATTTGAATCCTTTCATTCGGTTTATTATTGTTTAGTCCATTTTTCAGATTGTTTTGTGATTCTAAAACCAAGGGTGGAGCCATGATTTTTTTTATTCCGGGTTAAACTAAGTATTCATACGACTAACAAAATATAAATATTTTTTAATATATTATGTGGCCCAAAAATTTTATTTTTTAATTGTGGCCCAAAAATTTTGTCTTTAATGATGAGTCAAAAATTTTATTTTTTTAATGTTGAGTCAAAAATTTTTGTAATAGGTTTGGGTAGATAATATTGAAATCAAATTTTTTTATTTTAAATGGGTTAAATTTTTTAATTTGTTTGGGTAAATAATGTGGGCCTAATATAAATAAGGGGCATATATAATGTATTATATAAATATATAATACATATACCCTACTAATAAATTTTTTTTTTTTTTTGAGAGGGGTGCACTTGCCCACCTTGGCCTAGCTGTCCCTGCCTTTGCGTAATCCCCTCTTTGTTCTGATCAAAATAATAATAGAAAACCTTGAAATTTTTTTTTTTTCATGATTATTGGGACTTAAGACTTAAGAGCTTTAAAAAATTAGACTAATGATTAGTGATTTAGTGAGCTGATACTGATAGCCTTATATGAAAGTGATAATTTTTTATTTTTTTTTTACTCTGGGCTTCAGCCCACTAATGACTCCGTCCCCGTCTAAAACCAATCCCTCTTTTGATTTATATTACATTTGAGTGGACAAGTGAGGTTAACTAGTTAATGTCTTCGAATCATCTTTCTCATAGAACAAATGGAGATTGCAAAGTCGAAAGGTCCAAACGAGCTACTGACTTGGGAAGATATTCAGAAGATGAAGTTTTCTTGGAATGTGGCATGTGAAGCATTAAGACTATCACCACCTGCTCAAGGAGCCTTTAGAGAGGCTATAACTGATTTCACATATGCAGGCTTTAGCATTCCAAAGGGATGGAAGGTATTGAACACTTGAATTTATTATAAAAACGTTAAGTGCTTTTTGTTAACACTTTTTTTTTTTAATGAAAATATGCACTTTAGACCTCAATTACACTCTTTATATATGTATTCTATATTACTTTATATGCGATAATTGTTAAAAAAAAAAAAATGCATGTATACTTCTTAAAAGATCATTAAAAAAAAAGACTTTCATAAAGCGTTATCGTATAGTATATAAAGTGATATTTAATTATGGTTCTTACAATTAAATTTTTTGCAGACATTTTGGACTGTGCATACAACACACACAAATCCTCAATATTTTCCCGAGCCAGAAAAGTTTGATCCTTCGAGGTTTGATGGAAGTGGGCCTGCTCCATACACTTACGTCCCCTTTGGAGGCGGACCTCGGATGTGCCCTGGGAAAGAGTATGCTCGGCTAGAGGTGCTCGTTTTCATGCATAATGTGGTCAGAAACTTCAAATTGGAGAAGGCAATTCCAAATGAAAAGATAGTTTTCCATGCATCCCCTGTTCCGATGAAAGCCTCCACCCTCATGACAAACAAATATCTTAAAGCTTCATTACTAGATCGTCTTAGGGGTGTAACAAATATCTTAAAGCTTCATTACTAGCTGAGGATTGATGTGAGAAGGTTGGTGAGGTGCTTAGTCCATGAACTTATCCCATATCGTCTAGTTAGAAAAGGTTATTGCTCTATATAGATATAAAAAGCTCTATTTTTATTAATGTGATGTATTTTAAAGCCGAGATGTGGAACCCAAAGTGAACAATATCACATTTAGTTTGGTCGAGTCATTACAAGTGATATTAGATCCAGACCTGCCTTGTAATGGTAGAGCAAGTCCCATTTGGAGATGAGTGGGCGCCACAAGAATGAGCTTGAGGTACTTGTAAAAGCTGAAAGTTTAGCCATCTAACAATCCAAGATCCCTGCGAAAGGGTGAGGTGTTTGGTACATTAATTTGTCATAAATTGCCTAATTATCGAAGGTCGTTGAAGTATATATGTCGAAACTTTATCTTCACTGTTGTGATGCATTTTAAAACCACGTCGAAACTTTATCTTCACTGTTGTGATGCATTTTAAAACCATGAAGGACATCCCAAAGCGATCAATATATTGCATACAATTAGCCTAAATCATTACGTATGTTTTTTTTTGGAAATGGAGAAAATTCATTGTCTGTTCTCAGCGAGGCGTGCTTATGTCGATCAAACTCGTAACTTTAAGTAGAACTAAAGACAAAGTCCAGAGTATGAACCAGTTCCTTAACTCATACACCATTTAAATCAGGACTTGTATTTTTTTTGAGATTCAAGACCCACACCAAAGACTTGGATACGGTTTATTCAAGTAACTGAGGGCTTATCTTACCAAACAGTTACGCTTTNGGTTTGTGAAGAAGTTCTGAACATTATCAGGGAGAGAAGAAAGGAACTAATGGAGAAGGAGAGAGGAGATGGGGACTTGTTGTCTCGTATGCTGCTAGTAACAGATAAAAATGGAAAATTCATGAATGAAAAGGAAATCTCTAATAACATCGTGGGTTTACTTGTTGCAAGTTATGAAACAACCAGTACCGCAGTCACTGTTGTCTTGAAGTATCTCGCGGAGCTTCCCCACATTTACACCCAGGTTTTTAAAGGTAATACTCCAAACTGATTTTGTCTCCTTCCATATCAGTGCCTACTGAGTGCTGGGTATGGTTTAATACCCACTAATCTATTGGGATTGAGACCATTTTCATTACATTTTTACTTAGTTTTAATCAAGTATATCATTTGTTAAAATTCTAGTGTGACTCACTATTTATAGTGAACCTCTCTCTCACCCATACGTGATGGTAATTTATAATTAAGTAAAATTAAATAAAAGTGGAATGAAAAGGATTTGAATCCTTTCATTCGGTTTATTATTGTTTAGTCCATTTTTCAGATTGTTTTGTGATTCTAAAACCAAGGGTGGAGCCATGATTTTTTTTATTCCGGGTTAAACTAAGTATTCATACGACTAACAAAATATAAATATTTTTTAATATATTATGTGGCCCAAAAATTTTATTTTTTAATTGTGGCCCAAAAATTTTGTCTTTAATGATGAGTCAAAAATTTTATTTTTTTAATGTTGAGTCAAAAATTTTTGTAATAGGTTTGGGTAGATAATATTGAAATCAAATTTTTTTATTTTAAATGGGTTAAATTTTTTAATTTGTTTGGGTAAATAATGTGGGCCTAATATAAATAAGGGGCATATATAATGTATTATATAAATATATAATACATATACCCTACTAATAAATTTTTTTTTTTTTTTGAGAGGGGTGCACTTGCCCACCTTGGCCTAGCTGTCCCTGCCTTTGCGTAATCCCCTCTTTGTTCTGATCAAAATAATAATAGAAAACCTTGAAATTTTTTTTTTTTCATGATTATTGGGACTTAAGACTTAAGAGCTTTAAAAAATTAGACTAATGATTAGTGATTTAGTGAGCTGATACTGATAGCCTTATATGAAAGTGATAATTTTTTATTTTTTTTTTACTCTGGGCTTCAGCCCACTAATGACTCCGTCCCCGTCTAAAACCAATCCCTCTTTTGATTTATATTACATTTGAGTGGACAAGTGAGGTTAACTAGTTAATGTCTTCGAATCATCTTTCTCATAGAACAAATGGAGATTGCAAAGTCGAAAGGTCCAAACGAGCTACTGACTTGGGAAGATATTCAGAAGATGAAGTTTTCTTGGAATGTGGCATGTGAAGCATTAAGACTATCACCACCTGCTCAAGGAGCCTTTAGAGAGGCTATAACTGATTTCACATATGCAGGCTTTAGCATTCCAAAGGGATGGAAGGTATTGAACACTTGAATTTATTATAAAAACGTTAAGTGCTTTTTGTTAACACTTTTTTTTTTTAATGAAAATATGCACTTTAGACCTCAATTACACTCTTTATATATGTATTCTATATTACTTTATATGCGATAATTGTTACAAAAAAAAAAAAATGCATGTATACTTCTTAAAAGATCATTAAAAAAAAAGACTTTCATAAAGCGTTATCGTATAGTATATAAAGTGATATTTAATTATGGTTCTTACAATTAAATTTTTTGCAGACATTTTGGACTGTGCATACAACACACACAAATCCTCAATATTTTCCCGAGCCAGAAAAGTTTGATCCTTCGAGGTTTGATGGAAGTGGGCCTGCTCCATACACTTACGTCCCCTTTGGAGGCGGACCTCGGATGTGCCCTGGGAAAGAGTATGCTCGGCTAGAGGTGCTCGTTTTCATGCATAATGTGGTCAGAAACTTCAAATTGGAGAAGGCAATTCCAAATGAAAAGATAGTTTTCCATGCATCCCCTGTTCCGATGAAAGCCTCCACCCTCATGACAAACAAATATCTTAAAGCTTCATTACTAGATCGTCTTAGGGGTGTAACTTCCCATATGCCATAAATAAGTGGAAGACTTTATCTGTATGACTGTCTTTTCAATATCAATTTTTCCATGTTCACCTTGTTTCAATAGTATTCTATGGGATTTCCCCATTGTTGTTCTAAGTATAATGGATGTTAAAGTTACTTCAATCTTCTATTTAATTCTACATGGACTTTGCGAATAATGTGTTCTGAGATTCCTTTTATTTATCAACAAACTACATTCAGCCCATCCTGCTCGGATTGCAGATCTTATAGTGAAGAACTAGCTGAGGATTGATGTGAGAAGGTTGGTGAGGTGCTTAGTCCATGAACTTATCCCATATCGTCTAGTTAGAAAAGGTTATTGCTCTATATAGATATAAAAAGCTCTATTTTTATTAATGTGATGTATTTTAAAGCCGAGATGTGGAACCCAAAGTGAACAATATCACATTTAGTTTGGTCGAGTCATTACAAGTGATATTAGATCCAGACCTGCCTTGTAATGGTAGAGCAAGTCCCATTTGGAGATGAGTGGGCGCCACAAGAATGAGCTTGAGGTACTTGTAAAAGCTGAAAGTTTAGCCATCTAACAATCCAAGATCCCTGCGAAAGGGTGAGGTGTTTGGTACATTAATTTGTCATAAATTGCCTAATTATCGAAGGTCGTTGAAGTATATATGTCGAAACTTTATCTTCACTGTTGTGATGCATTTTAAAACCATGAAGGACATCCCAAAGCGATCAATATATCGCATACAATTAGCCTAAATCATTACGTATGTTTTTTTTTTGGAAATGGAGAAATTTCATTGTCTGTTCTGAGCGAGGCGCGCTTATGTCGATCAGACTCGTAACTTTAAGTAGAACTAAAGACAAAGTTCAGAGTATGAACCAGTTCTTTAACTCATACACCATTTAAATCAGGACTTGTATTTTTTTTGAGACTCAAGACTCACACCAAAGATTTGGATACGGTTTATTCAAGTAACTGAGGGCTTATCTTACCAAACAGTTACGCTTTTGCACCCAGAAAACTTCGAATCCTTGACCTCCCACTGAAAAGTCAGAGGTTCTGGCCAATATCCAGTTGGTTAGCATTACGTATGTTGGTAGTGGTAGGTTTACATTATTTGTAACAAGTTGACCATGTCTGTAAGTTTTGTGTTTAAATATTAAGGATGTAACTTGGGCGGGCTAATCCGATTTTAACTTGAGTCTAGTCCGAAAAAATTAAGACTTAAGCTAGGATTTTTAATACTTGTGTTGGGTTTATGTCAAAAAACCTCAACCTGAATTCAAGTTGGGTGGACCTCGGGTTGACTCCTCGGATTACCGGGTTGAACTTGAATATTAAAATCGGGTTCAACTCGATTTAATATTCAGGTTCAACCCGAATATTCATAACCATATAAATACATTTGTAAGTCTAGGGTTAATCTGTCCTGACGTTTTCATTGTGCGCCTCTCTCACTCATTATTTAAGCAGTGAACTCTACATTTGTACAAGAATTCTAGTTGTGTTTATTTGTGTTCTGTATGATTGTGGTTGCATTATCTCAAACATTGAGTTCTTAATATTATGGTTTTCATGTTAAAAACTTGATTGAAGTTATTGGTTATTAATTTAGATGAATATTATGTAATATATGTATCGGGTTTAGAACAACAAGTTNTATTTTTTAATTGTGGCCCAAAAATTTTGTCTTTAATGATGAGTCAAAAATTTTATTTTTTTAATGTTGAGTCAAAAATTTTTGTAATAGGTTTGGGTAGATAATATTGAAATCAAATTTTTTTATTTTAAATGGGTTAAATTTTTTAATTTGTTTGGGTAAATAATGTGGGCCTAATATAAATAAGGGGCATATATAATGTATTATATAAATATATAATACATATACCCTACTAATAAATTTTTTTTTTTTTTTGNGGGTTTAGAACAACAAGTTTATTTTAGATTAAACCCGAATTAAACCCGTAAAATAGCTCGAAATCATTAACCCAAGTCTGACCAATAAAACTCGGGCAGTGCTCGAGTTGAGTCCCTCAATCCAAGGTAAGTTTAGAGTTAAAATTAAGGTTGAAAATTATATACTCAAGGTTAGATTAGGGTTGAGTTGCACCCTATTAAATATAAGGGGGTGGTTGATTGGTGGTAGGTTGGGGTTCCAACAGGCCAGACCAGGCGCAAAACAACAAAACTGTTCCCGACCAGGCCAAGCCTGACTGCATGAAGTTNGCCTTTGCGTAATCCCCTCTTTGTTCTGATCAAAATAATAATAGAAAACCTTGAAATTTTTTTTTTTTCATGATTATTGGGACTTAAGACTTAAGAGCTTTAAAAAATTAGACTAATGATTAGTGATTTAGTGAGCTGATACTGATAGCCTTATATGAAAGTGATAATTTTTTATTTTTTTTTTACTCTGGGCTTCAGCCCACTAATGACTCCGTCCCCGTCTAAAACCAATCCCTCTTTTGATTTATATTACATTTGAGTGGACAAGTGAGGTTAACTAGTTAATGTCTTCGAATCATCTTTCTCATAGAACAAATGGAGATTGCAAAGTCGAAAGGTCCAAACGAGCTACTGACTTGGGAAGATATTCAGAAGATGAAGTTTTCTTGGAATGTGGCATGTGAAGCATTAAGACTATCACCACCTGCTCAAGGAGCCTTTAGAGAGGCTATAACTGATTTCACATATGCAGGCTTTAGCATTCCAAAGGGATGGAAGGTATTGAACACTTGAATTTATTATAAAAACGTTAAGTGCTTTTTGTTAACACTTTTTTTTTTTAATGAAAATATGCACTTTAGACCTCAATTACACTCTTTATATATGTATTCTATATTACTTTATATGCGATAATTGTTACAAAAAAAAAAAAATGCATGTATACTTCTTAAAAGATCATTAAAAAAAAAGACTTTCATAAAGCGTTATCGTATAGTATATAAAGTGATATTTAATTATGGTTCTTACAATTAAATTTTTTGCAGACATTTTGGACTGTGCATACAACACACACAAATCCTCAATATTTTCCCGAGCCAGAAAAGTTTGATCCTTCGAGGTTTGATGGAAGTGGGCCTGCTCCATACACTTACGTCCCCTTTGGAGGCGGACCTCGGATGTGCCCTGGGAAAGAGTATGCTCGGCTAGAGGTGCTCGTTTTCATGCATAATGTGGTCAGAAACTTCAAATTGGAGAAGGCAATTCCAAATGAAAAGATAGTTTTCCATGCATCCCCTGTTCCGATGAAAGCCTCCACCCTCATGACAAACAAATATCTTAAAGCTTCATTACTAGATCGTCTTAGGGGTGTAACTTCCCATATGCCATAAATAAGTGGAAGACTTTATCTGTATGACTGTCTTTTCAATATCAATTTTTCCATGTTCACCTTGTTTCAATAGTATTCTATGGGATTTCCCCATTGTTGTTCTAAGTATAATGGATGTTAAAGTTACTTCAATCTTCTATTTAATTCTACATGGACTTTGCGAATAATGTGTTCTGAGATTCCTTTTATTTATCAACAAACTACATTCAGCCCATCCTGCTCGGATTGCAGATCTTATAGTGAAGAACTAGCTGAGGATTGATGTGAGAAGGTTGGTGAGGTGCTTAGTCCATGAACTTATCCCATATCGTCTAGTTAGAAAAGGTTATTGCTCTATATAGATATAAAAAGCTCTGTTTTTATTAATGTGATGTATTTTAAAGCCGAGATGTGGAACCCAAAGTGAACAATATCACATTTAGTTTGGTCGAGTCATTACAAGTGATATTAGATCCAGACCTGCCTTGTAATGGTAGAGCAAGTCCCATTTGGAGATGAGTGGGCGCCACAAGAATGAGCTTGAGGTACTTGTAAAAGCTGAAAGTTTAGCCATCTAACAATCCAAGATCCCTGCGAAAGGGTGAGGTGTTTGGTACATTAATTTGTCATAAATTGCCTAATTATCGAAGGTCGTTGAAGTATATATGTCGAAACTTTATCTTCACTGTTGTGATGCATTTTAAAACCATGAAGGACATCCCAAAGCGATCAATATATCGCATACAATTAGCCTAAATCATTACGTATGTTTTTTTTTTGGAAATGGAGAAATTTCATTGTCTGTTCTGAGCGAGGCGCGCTTATGTCGATCAGACTCGTAACTTTAAGTAGAACTAAAGACAAAGTTCAGAGTATGAACCAGTTCTTTAACTCATACACCATTTAAATCAGGACTTGTATTTTTTTTGAGACTCAAGACTCACACCAAAGATTTGGATACGGTTTATTCAAGTAACTGAGGGCTTATCTTACCAAACAGTTACGCTTTTGCACCCAGAAAACTTCGAATCCTTGACCTCCCACTGAAAAGTCAGAGGTTCTGGCCAATATCCAGTTGGTTAGCATTACGTATGTTGGTAGTGGTAGGTTTACATTATTTGTAACAAGTTGACCATGTCTGTAAGTTTTGTGTTTAAATATTAAGGATGTAACTTGGGCGGGCTAATCCGATTTTAACTTGAGTCTAGTCCGAAANACTATTAAAGGTGCAACTTGGGCGGGCTAATCTGATTTTAACTTAAGTCCAGTTCGAAAAAATTGAGACTTAAGCTAGGATTTTTAATACTTGTGTTGGGTTTACGTCAAAAAACCTCAACCTGAATTCAAGTTGGGCGGACCTCGGGTTGACTCCTCGGATTACCGGGTTGAACTTGAATATTAAAATCGGGTTCAGCTCAATTTAATATTCAGGTTTAACCCGAATATTCATAGCCATATAAATACATTTGTAAGTCTAGGGTTAATCTGTTATGACGTTTTCATTGTGCGCCTCTCTCACTCACTATTTAAGCAGTGAACTCTACATTTGTACAAGAATTCTAGTTGTGTTTATTTGTGTTATGTATGGTTGTGGTTGTATTATCTCAAACATTGAATTCTTAATATTATGGTTTTCATGTTAAAAACTTGATTGAAGTTATTGGTTATTAATTTAGATGAATATTATGTAATATATGTATCGAATTTAGAACAACAAGTTTATTTTAGATTAAACCCGAATTAAACCCGTAAAATAGCTCGAAATCATTAACCCGAATTTAACCCGAGTCCGACCAAATTAAACTCGGGCAGTGCTCGAATTGAGTCCCTCAATCCAAGGTAAGTTTAGGGTTAAAATTAGGGTTGAAGATTATATACTCAAGGTTAGATTAGGGTTGAGTTGCACCCTATTAAATATAAGGGGGTGGTTGATTGGTGGTAGGTTGGGGTCCCAACAGGCCAGACCAGGCGCAAAACAACAAAACTGTTCCCGACCAGGCCAAGCCTGACTGCATGAAGTTGATGGGTTGGGATGCATGTAATGGGTTTTGCACTATTGACCATGACTATTGCTATCAGACGAGTTATTGGACGGGTCAGCCCGCATGCTTTTTCCTTTTTATTAAAACATAGAAAAAATACTGCAAAGTTTGTAATTTACAACTTAAAAGTTCATAACTTATGAATTATCACTTTATATTAATTATGGATTGTTAGCTTATAATCTTAAAAATCGCAACTTTATGTGTATATGGCAGATGAATTTAAAAAAAAATTATAACATAAAAGTTGTATAGTGGGTAGGCGTCTTAGGCGAGTTTACGGGTCGAAATTTAGGCCATGATGCAGCGTAGGAAAAACAACGTGAGTACTAGGGGTTGGGCAAGTGAAGATCGTTTCAGGCCGAACGAGATAGCGGACAAGATTCTACAAGGGCACATCAGGCCGTAGGGAACCCGGCCCATGAACTAGCCTATTGGTAGTGTGGTGACTTACAGTGACAATGGCAGTGGCTATTTATTTGATGGTGTGTGATTTTATGTGCGGTAATGACAGTTTTTCGTATGTGTGCTTGTAAGTGTGGAATGGTGGTGAGTTCGTGCAACACNGAATTTAGAACAACAAGTTTATTTTAGATTAAACCCGAATTAAACCCGTAAAATAGCTCGAAATCATTAACCCGAATTTAACCCGAGTCCGACCAAATTAAACTCGGGCAGTGCTCGAATTGAGTCCCTCAATCCAAGGTAAGTTTAGGGTTAAAATTAGGGTTGAAGATTATATACTCAAGGTTAGATTAGGGTTGAGTTGCACCCTATTAAATATAAGGGGGTGGTTGATTGGTGGTAGGTTGGGGTCCCAACAGGCCAGACCAGGCGCAAAACAACAAAACTGTTCCCGACCAGGCCAAGCCTGACTGCATGAAGTTGATGGGTTGGGATGCATGTAATGGGTTTTGCACTATTGACCATGACTATAGCTATCAGACGAGTTATTGGACGGGCCAGCCCGCATGCTTTTTCCTTTTTATTAAAACATAGAAAAAATACTGCAAAGTTTGTAATTTACAACTTAAAAGTTCATAACTTATGAATTATCACTTTATATTAATTATGGATTGTTAGCTTATAATCTTAAAAATCGCAACTTTATGTGTATATGGCAGATGAATTTAAAAAAAAATTATAACATAAAAGTTGTATAGTGGGTAGGCGTCTTAGGCGAGTTTACGGGTCGAAATTTAGGCCATGATGCAGCGTAGGAAAAACAACGTGAGTACTAGGGGTTGGGCAAGTGAAGATCGTTTCAGGCCGAACGAGATAGCGGAAAAGATTCTACAAGGGCACATCAGGCCGTAGGGAACCCGGCCCATGAACTAGCCTATTGGTAGTGTGGTGACTTAGAGTGACAATGGCAGTGGCTATTTATTTGATGGTGTGTGATTTTATGTGCGGTAATAACAGTTTTTCGTATGTGTGCTTGTAAGTGTGGAATGGTGGTGAGTTCGTGCAACACNAGTAACGCTAAAATTGGCTTTTTAAGATAAACCAAGGACAGATGAGGAAAATTAAAGTTTTTCATTCTAATTGTCTTTTAGTAGAAGTATAGGTATAGATTTATAGAAGAAAACTAGTTAAATCCAATGATGAGTGTGGTTTTCACAATATTACCGTGAGTTGAGTTGATTCCCAATTAGGATATGGATTTTACTTGTAGCAATTAATGAAAAGTTAGGTTTAGTGCTAACCATAGGAACATGCTTAGGTGAAAATGGCAAGGGTAGTCAATGGTAGGGCAGAGGGGTTGCAAGAGGAGGGTAGGGGCCGCCTATCCTGTCATTTTTGACTTTAGAACGGAATGGAGTAAATGGTGCCCTTTCCTAACCCCAAGTTGTCAAAAAAAAAAAAAATTTCAAGTAAGAAGATAGAGTCTCAACGGAGAAGGAGAGAGGGTATCGGGGAGGGTGGTGGTGGTGTCCAACTACCCTATCCCCTCTCTCTAAGGTCAGTATCATGATCACATGCATAGTGATTGTAAAGGAGTGATAGGGAGATAGGGAAAGGGAGAGAGATATAAGAGTGAGACAAAACCAAAAAAGATAAACTTATAATGGCATAAGTGGTTGAGTTTGGTTCAAAAAGGAGTTGTGTAGTTTAAAGAAGAAGAAAATTGGGGTATCATAGATAATTCATGTAGAGTGAACAACGTATCCACTCTCCCTTTATTATGAGCAATAGATACATATTTCGTGGCTTCTGTTAGTAACAAAAATTCTTAAAGATTATCTGTACTATTTCAAAAAATAAGGAGGGTGTCCTTGTAATTAATATATTTTACAGGGACCTTAATGTAATTTTGGAGTAGGGATATAATAGATGAGTTTAACGAACAACTAGTGCAGTTACTATCTCTCTTTCCTGTAAGAAACAAACGAGACGCACTGTTCTACCCCTTCTGTCTCTTTCTATCTCGTCAAACTTTCTTGGTAATCAACAGTAGGCGTTTCTTAAACCGTCGTTTTTCCTATCAGGATCTCTATTCCATTGCATAACTCCCCCGAATACTAAACTTTCCCTCGCTTTAGAATGAGAAGCAGAAAGTGAACTGTGGATCTTAATGGGTATGATGGAATGGAAGAAAAGGCTATTGCTGATGTATTTTTTGTGCTAAAGAAGAGGGTTATTGGGATTTTTGGGCACTATATATGGAGACTGCTTCAGAGGAGTCAACAAGCTGGTCAAACGCGTACAAAGGCATATCCTCTGACAACATAAAGGGCTTGGTGTTGGCCGTTTCTTCGAGTTTCTTCATTGGTGCTAGCTTTATCGTCAAGAAGAAGGGTTTGAAAAAGGCTGGTGCTTCTGGGGTCAGGGCAGGTATTGTTGCGTTTTTTTTTAATCGTTGACGCTTTTGAATCTGGTAAAGCACTGTGGTTGAGAAGGTAGTTGTAATACTTTGTCGAAATAGTTGTGATTTGATTTTGATGTTAATTTGGACTTGAAATGCATGGAGTTGATTGCC